AAACACTGGCTACAGAAACGCTGGCTACGGAAACGCCAATGCTGGTTACGGCAACGCTGTCTACGATGAGCTGCCTACCGTCCACGGCGACGCTAGCTACGGAAGAGTAAACACTGGTTACGGAAACAATCTTCATGGAATTTCACCGGCTGTTCACACTACTGGCTACGGCAATGCCAACGCTGGTTACGGTAACGCTGGTTACGGCAACGCTGTCTACGATGAGCTGCCTACCGTCCACGGCGACGCTAGCTACGAAAGAGTAAACACTGGTTACGGAAACAATCTTCATGGAATTTCACCGGCTGTTCACACTACTGGCTACGGCAATGCCAACGCTGGTTACGGTAACGCTGGTTACGGCAACGCTGGCTACGATGAGATGCCCACCGTCCACGGCGACGCTAGCTACGGAAACGTAAACACCGGTTACGGAAACAATCTTCATGGAATTTCACCGGCTGTTCACACTACTGGCTACGGCAATGCCAACGCTGGTTACGGTAACGCTGGCTACGATGAGCTACCCACCGTCCACGGTGACGCTAGCTACGGCAACGCCGTTCGTGGTAACGTCGGTCTGCTGCGCGGACGCAACTCTGCCGGCTACGGCCGCGTCAATGCAGGATACGGAAACATCGGCTATGGAATTACTCCGATCGCGCGCCAGGGCGTCGGATACGGAGCGGCGAGGCAGTCGTACGGTGGCGTTCCCGCTGGCTACGGCGGGAGAAGGCTCGCGCGTACGTCCAGCCACGCCGGCTACTACCCCAACTACGGATATGGCGGATACGGTGCGCCGGGATACCGCAACCCGGGATACGTCGTCGACAACAGATACACTGGGAGCGAGTACTCCAGTCGCGACAGGAGCGGCTTCGGAAACACTGGATACGGAAATGGTCTTGGATACGCCGGCGACTCCATTGGCTACGGAACTGGAAACGTCCGTCTGGGATACGGAAACACCGGTGCCGGATACGGAGGAGGAGACACTGTATATTTGGAGGCGCCCACTGTCCACGGCGACGCTAGTTATGCGCCAGGCGTTCGCGCAGGCGCCAACAGACGCGTGCACGCTGGAAATCTAAACGCTGGCTACGGTAACGATGGTTACGGTAACGCTGGTTACGGTAACGCTGGTTACGGTAACGCTGGCTATGATGACATGCCCACTGTCCACCGCGACGCTAGCTACGGAAGAGTAAACACCGGTTACGGAAGCAATCTACATGGAATTTCACCGGCTGTTCACAATACTGGCTACGGAAATGCCAACGCTGGTTACGGCAACGCTGTCTACCAGGAGCACCCCACTGTCCACGGCGACGCTAGCTACGGCCCCACCGCACGCGGAAACGTCGGCCTGGTCAACAGACAAAGCGGTTACGGAAACGGAAATAGCGCTCTAGGATTCGGTAGTGACGATATTGGTTACGGAGACGGAAATGTCCATCTAGGCTAGGGAAGCACAGCTTCCGGTTACGAGGACATCGGTGTAGGTTATACGGACATGGTATGATGTGAGCGGTGCTGCAGCGGCTTAAAAAGTTGCGTCTAACCGTAATTGCATTGATACACGGCCCGGTATATGTATAAGTAGTCGTGATTAGATGTTTTAATTAACGCCAATATGGCAATAAGGTCGATATAATGTTGTCCAGTTCAAAACAGGCAGGGTGATAGGGGACGCGGACATGTGGATGCGGACGAGTGGTCTTTTCCTCATCGCTACATGCACTGCAATGTTAATTAGAGTTTAATAAAATTGTTTTGTTATACATATATATATATATATTCGTTTTTTGAGACTCGAAGCGTCCTGCTTATTGGGTATTTTCTCCTGGCGTTACGAACTTTATTGCATGAGATTTACAATTCACAACGCAGTTACGGAGGAAATGAAATTATAGACATGCGAACACACACGCGAACGCTCAGCACACGCACGCGCGAGCACACACACGCGCTCGCACCAACCATAGAAATAATATAGGTAGACTCTATAGATATATGTTTCTATGGCACCAACACACGCGAACGCAGAAGCACACGTGAACATGCACGCACATGCATGGGGACGCTCACGCAAACACGTACAACACGGGCACCAACGAATATAGGCTTGTGCAAATACATGTAAATGCATACCGTATGTAGGGTCCCTGTATACAGCCCTGTATATAAGGACCCTAACCATACGTATTGCTATTTCAACTCTCATACTAAACGCACTGTTTCAATCACTTGCGTATTGGATAAAAATGCTCGTTCATCACCTATCACATACTATTGTATATTACACACAAAACATGCAGACTGGTGACGGAGTAATGTTCTCCTATGGGTGCTAATCTCTGGCGGCCAAGCATGACAAATGGAAATGGTTTTGAGTGAATGAATAGGTTTTTGGATCTTAATTACCTCGTATTTCTTCTACTAACGAGCGCTGGTCGTCGATGTGAGAATTCGCTCTCGACTATTACCCTAAAAACGTTACGTTAAGACAAATTTAACTGCAAGCCTATATGTCTTGTCTTGTCTATAGGTCAGTCACCTACTATCCTAGCTCTAGAACTATAGCCCGTCGCTTTGCCACAGCCTTCGCCCTGTGGCAGAGCAAAGGGCTGTAGGTCTAGAGCTACTACTATCCCTACACATATGTATTTATTATTCCATCTATGAACATGAACATATGAAAAATGAACATAGATATTATGGAGATTGGGTAGAGCAGATTAAACATTACTTGGAATCAGCCTGGAAGCTCCGGAACAAAATCTCCCAGTGAAGTAAAATTACCGGTGAGAAACTCAAAAATAAAAAGGGAAATACCGATCTAAAGGTTCCCGTTCATACATACATATCTGTGGTCAGTCACTCTCGAGCTAACAGCAACTCGGCAGATGATGACGATGGTTATAAAGATTACGGCCGCAAGGCGTCGCTTACGTAGCTAACGCAAACTTGTTAACGAGTGTGCTATTGGACAGCATATACCGTTATTGGTCCAGTTGGCCAATCCCAGTCAACCTACTAATAGTAATTTAAAAGGACCATCATCTCATTTACCATTTCTTATAATTTTGACAAAGGCAAGTAAATAGGCATATTTTCCAGTGATTCTGCTAAAAACTCTTGCCGAACCAGAGTATACGGATTGTGAACTCACATTAAAGGTAACGGCAAAGTTCTAATGGGTCAGAAAATATTAGTTTTAACTATACACCCTCGACTAGTATTGACTTTATAGAGGGTGTCGGGTCCACTCAGCCCACCCTAGCAGAATCGGCCCATTACTTAGGATTACGAAGTCGAACCATAACAGACTCGGCCGATACTAACTCGCCACATAAAAAATACATGTTGAATCCAAACCGTCTAGATATGTTTAAATTATTGGGGGAGGGGTTACCAGCTGCGCGATAAACATACCAACGACGCGCATGCGCAGCGGTACTTTCTTAACAGCAGACACCCCGCGTTAAAACAAAGCCGTGGGGCCCGGTTTGTCAGCGTACTCTATTCACGCGCCGGCATGAAATCCCCGCGGGCTATGGGCTGAGAGTCAACCACCTCGTTTACTCTAAACATGCTTGTATACGTGCCGCGTAAGTACACTCTAATTCCTCGCGCGACAGCTGTTTTAGGGACAAATGCCGCTGAACGGAGATGTAACAATTACGGGAGGGGGGGCTGTTGCTAGGTAGTACTTATGTACATCGTCGAACTTTCGCCGGAATGAAACCGAGATCAACAACAACGGCGCAAATAAACTTGATTCAATCTTCGTCTGTCAATCTTGCTGTCGCAGTCTGATTGATTTGATTTTGGAATTTATTAACGCTTTCAAATATTACATAGTTACATATGTCATAACGATTTGTCAGTAAATGCAGCGAGGGAGGGCGAGGTGACTGTATAGTCTTCAAGTCAACCACTCCGCAATGTAAGGTTAGTTACTCAAAGTTAATCCATGAATGGCAAAATGATCGAGAAATACAAAACTATACATGAAACGCGTCGTCTCTCTATATACGCGGCTAGCAATGAACGGACGATGACTGACACACATGTGAATGGAGCGACGATGTGTGCAGGGGTGCTGCATGCGGGTAAAACTTACTGTTAGGGATATGTAACTCGCAGCCGAAGCGGCGAAGGAGCCAGCTACGTTAACAAAATCTGGTTCCGTACGGTGCGCATGCGTACACGCATACCTTATGATTAGGCCCTCTTATTTAAAGAAATGTGCATGTACTCCGTCAAAAACTAAACCAAAAGCTACACACGGTAATATCTCGATGAGATAGAGATTGAGCGAGCGAGCGAGAGAGAGAGAGAGAGAGAGAGAGAGAGAGAGAGAGAGAGAGAGAGAGATGGCCAAAAACCCTAACCCTAACCCTAACCCAACCCTAAGTCATAAAGTATAACCTTACTCCTTAGGTATCACGAAGTGTGTTATGGTTGCTGGTTAGGTTGGGCTTAGGGTTAGGGTTAGGGTTTTGCATCATTCCTTGATATCGCGAAATTCTGTGCCATCAGTGATGATACACAGAAATCTGTGCATCACTTCGTGATACCTAAGGTGCCTAAAGTGGATTTGCACCATGGAAAACACCTATCTCTATATTTCAATAATTTAAACATATCTAGACGGTTTGGATTCAACATGTATTTTTTATGTGGCGAGTTAGTATCGGCCGAGTCTGTTATGCGTTCGACTTCGTAATCCTAAGTAATGGGCCGATTCTTGCTAGGGTGGGCTGAGTGGACCGACACCCTCTATAAAGTCAATACTAAGTCGAGGGTGTATAGTTAAAAACTAATATTTTTCTGACCCATTAGAACTTGCCGTTACCTTTAATGTGAGTTCACAATCCGATATACTCTGGTTCCGGCAAGAGTTTTTAGCAGCAATCACTGGAAAATATGCCTATTACTTGCCTTTGTCAAATTATAGAAATGGTAAATGAGATGATGGTCCTTTTAAAATTACTATTAGTAGGTTGACTGGGATGGCCACGGACCAATAACGGTATATGCTGTCCAATAGCACACTCTGCTTAACAAGTTTGCGTTAGCTACGTAAGCGACGCCTTGCGACCCGCTAATCTTTATAACCATCGTCATCATCTGCCGAGTTGCTGTTAGCTCGAGAGTGACTGACACAGATATGTATGTATGAACGCGGGAACCTTTAGATCGGTATTTCCCTTTTTATTTTTGAGTTTCTCACCTGGTAATTTTACTTCACTGCGGTGGGATTTTGTTTCCGGAGCTTCCAGGCTGAATTCCAAGTAATGTTTTAATCTGCTCTATCCAATCTCCATAAGTATCTATGTTCATTTTTCATATGTTCATGTTCATAGATGGAATAATAAATAACATATTGTGTAGGGATAGTAATAGCTCTAGACCTACAGCCCTTTGCTCTGCCACAGGGCGAAGGCTGTGCAAAAGCGCGGGCTATAGTTCTAGAGCTAGGATAGTAGGTGACTGACCTGACCTATAGACAAGACAAAGACATATAGGCTTGCAAGTTAATATTGTCGTTAACGTAACGTTTTTAGGGTAATAGTCGAGAGCGATTTCTCACATCGACGGACCAGCGCTCGCTTAGTAGGAGAGAAATACGAGGTAATTAAGATCCAAAAACCTATTCATTCACTCGAAACCATTTCCATTTGTCATGCTTGGCCGCCAGAGATTTGCACCCATAGGAGAACATTACTCCGTCAGCAGTCTGCATGTTTTGTGTGTAATATACAATAGTATGTGATAGGTGATGAACGAGCATTTTATCCAATACGCAATGTGATTGAAACAGTGCGTTTAGTGATGAGAGTTGAAATAGCAATACGTATGGTTAGGGTCCTTATATACAGGCTGTATACAGGGACCTACATACAGTATGCATTTACATGTATTTGCACAAGCCTATAATCGTTGGTGCCCGTGTTGTACGTGTTTTGCGTGAGCGTCCCCATGCATGTGCGTGCATGTTCACGTGTGCTCTCTGGCGTTCGCGGTGTTGGTGCCATAGAAACATATATCTATAGAGTCTACCTATATTATTTCTATGCGTTGGTGCGAGCGCGTGTGTGTGCTCGCCGCCCGTGCGTGGCTGAGCGTTCGCGTGTGTGTTCGGCATGTCTATAATTTCATTTCCTCCGTAACTGCGTTGTGAATTGTAATCTCATGCAATAAAGTTCGTAACGCCAGGGAAAAATACCCAATAAGCAGGACGCTTCGAGTCTCAAAAAACGAATATATATATATATATGTATAAACAAAACAATTTTTATTAAACTTCTAATTAAGCATTGCAGTGCATGTAGCGATGAGGAAAAGACCACTCGTCCCGCATCCACTCATTGTCGCGTCCCCTATCACCCTGCCTGTTTTGAACTGGACAACATTATATCGACCTTATTGCCATATTGGCGTTAATTAAGAACATCTAATCACGACTACTTATACATATAACGGCCGTGTATCATGCAATTTACGGTTAGACGCAACTTTTTTAAGCCGCTGGCAGCACCGCTCACATCATACCATGTCCGTATTAACCTACACCGATGTCCTCCGTAACGGAAGCTGTGCTTCCCTAGCCTAGATGGACATTCGTCTCTCCGTAACCAATATCGTCACTACGAATCCTAGAGCGCTATTTCCGTTCCGTAAGCCGCTTTGTCTGTTGACCAGGCGACGTTTCCGCGTGCGATGGGGCCGTAGCTAGCGTCGCCGTGGACAGTGGGGTGCTCCTGGTTAGACAGCGTTGCCGTAAACAGCGTGTGCGCATTGCCGTAGCAGTATTGTGAACAGCCGCGTGAAATTCCATGTAGATTGCTTCCGTAACCGGGTGTTTACTCTTCCGTAGCTAGCGTCGCGGTGGACAGTGGGCATGTCATCATAGCCAGCGTTACCGTAACCAGCGTTACGTAACCATCCGTTACCGTAGCCAGCGTTTAGATTTCCAGCGTGCACGCGTCTGTTGGCGCCTTCGCGAACGCCTGGCGCATAACTAGCGTCGCCGTGGACAGTGGGCGCCTCAAATATACAGTGTTCTCCTCCTCGTATCCGGCACCGTGTTTCCGTATACCCAGTACGCCGACGTTTCCAGTTCCGTAGGCCAATGGAGTCGCCGGCCGTATCAAGACGCATTTCCGTATCCAGTGTTGCCGAAGCCGCTCCTGTCGGCGACCTGAGTACTCGCTCCCAGTGTATCTGTTGTCGACGGACGTATCCCGGGGTTGCGGCGTTATCTCGCGCACCGTTATCCGCCATAATCCGTGTTGGGTAGTAGCGGCGTGGCATGCGTACGCGCGAGCCTTCTCCGCCGTAGCCAGCGGGAACGCCACCGTACGACTGCCTGCGCCGCTCCGTATCCGACGCCCTGGCGCCGCGATCGAGTAATTCCATAGTCCAATGTTTCTTCAGTATTCCTGATTGACGATCGGGACGTAGCCGGCAGAGTTGCGTCGCAGCAGCAGACCGACGTTGACACGACGGCTGTTGCCAGTAGCTAGCGTCACCTGTGGGCACGCGTGGGTAGCTCATCGTAGCCACGTTACCGTAAACCTAGCGTTGGCATGCCGCTAGGCAGTAGTGTCGAACAAGCCGGTTGAAATTCATGCCAAGATGTGTTCGGCGTAACCGTGTTTACTCTTCCGTAGCTAGCGTCGGCCGTGGACGGTAGGCACTCTGCGTAGACAGCGTTTGCGCGTAACCAGCATCTTGGCGTATTCCGTGAGCCAGCAGTTTGCGTGGTAGCCAGTGTTTCCGGGACTGCCGTGGATGCTTCCGCGCGCAGCCGGACTAGAATAGCAGGTGCGTGGACGGCGGGCGCGTAGCCAGCATCGCCGTGAACAGTGGGGTGTTCCTGGTAGACAGCGTTACCGTAACCAGCGTTGGCATTGCCGTAGCCAGTAGTGTGAAAGCGTCGTGAAATTCCATGAAGCATTGTTTCGCGTAACCCCGTGTTTACGTTTCCGTAGGCTAGCGTCACCGTGGACGGTGGGTAGCTCGAAAAAAAAGAAGATATTTGAAAAAAAAAATAAAAAGAAATCCAAAGAAAACAAAAGAACTTAGCCGTGGGCGTAACCAGCGTTACGCTTAACGCAGCGTTGGCACTTGCGCTAGCCAAGTAGTGGACAGCCGCCGTGAGATCCAT